CTCGAGGGGCAACAATAGGAGGGGACTGGCAGAGGGGGGAGGACACGTCGACCTGGAATCGGCGGCACATCGACGATAGGTCGGCGATAGGCCCACGATAGTGACTCGTGACTCCGCACGTTCCTGGGCAGGTTCTGGCTATTGGGCCCCCACCGGCGATTGATGGGCGATTGGGGGTCGATGCCTCCCACCTGTCGTCGCCCCTGGGCGTTGCAAAAGAATTGAAACATCGCAGAAAATCACCACTGGAGCACTGGACCCCATCTTCCGGCGCCATTTTTCGAGCCGCATCGACGTGCGAGGGTCCCAGCGCCCGAAACTAGGCGAAAACGCCCGATGTGATTGCTTCAATCCCGGTGTTTCTCCTCAGTTGTCACGCAGCCTCATCTGAATCAGCGAGGCGTAGTGACCGAAACTGTGCCCGAGAATCTGCCCAACTGTTACCGAAGCCGGCTCCCGAACTTTCTGACCGCACCTGAGCGTGGCCGAAATGCCTGGTCCGAAGCCAAGACGGTTCTCGATGTCGGTCACAAGTTGGGTCCCACTACGTCTTCAGCCTCCCAAGTTCGGGCACCTTTCCGCCCTCATCTGTTTGTCTGGGGTCGCACGCCGTTGTGGCAAATGGGGGCCGGGCGCCATGACAATCTTCGTCTCGGGGGCCCGCCGCTCTTTTCCTCACAGCCCCGTCGAGCATCCGACGGCATGGACGGTGAGCAGACCCGGCTTACTGCCTGGGGCCTCGGCCGGACTGCTCCAGCGCCATCTCGAGGGCTTAGCACGGCTGCAGGTGCAGGCCGTGCTCTCGCGCACGCCGGGCGAGCACGCCCAGGGGAGAGAGAGAGAGAGAGGGAGAGAGAGAGAGAGGGAGAGAGAGAGAGAGGCAGGGGAGGGAGGAAGGAGGGGACGAGGAGAGGGGAAGAGAATGCCTGGGAACATCAGAAACGAATCCAGGACGAAAAACTACCCCTGGGGAAGGGGTCGGGACCGCTGGAGCTGCGCATCAAAAACGAACACGTCGTCGAATGGCTGGGTTCAGGGCTCGAGGTTCGAGGTTCGAGGTTCGAGGACAGTCGCCGTGTCTGCATCCGCCTCTGAGCGCCTGGTCTGAACGCACCAAGGAGACCCAGCGGCTCGCAAGCATTGAGAAGGCCTATTCGGCGCCGCTCTGGCCCTCTGGAGGCCGCTTTCGGGCCCCGAGACTGACCGTCAACTAACGGCCCAGGATGAGAAGCTGGCCCTAGGGACCCAGACATCCAACGTCTTGAAAGAAACAGAACGGGGGTCTTTCTCCGTTTTCGGCTTCTGGGGTTCCTCACTGGGCTCTGGGACCGTCAAAAACCGACTCGGGCTGAAACGCTGCGTGGTCGAAGCCTCCTGGGCCGACGCCAGGAGAACAATACGGCGTCAGAGGAGAGGGTCTGGGGCGGTCCATGCCAGAGGGGGTTGGGGCCACCGCCCCGCCCTCGACCCCTCTCTCTGGAGGCTGGAGATACACGGGTTCTCATTGGAGGGGGCTCACTCTGTGCCCTTTGGGCGTCGCTTAATGGGGGGGAATGGGGGGCGATAAATGGGGGGGCGATACAAAGGGGGCACTATACATGGGGGCTCAGAAATGAAAAGGGGGGAGGGGGGGGGGACAAAGAAGGGGGGGAAGGAAGGCGCGCTTTCCGGGCCCTGCAGGCCCACTTTGGGGGGCCCGCAGCACGCATGTCTTTCGCCGGGGTTGGCTTTCGCCGGGCTTCGTTTCGCCGGGCTTCGTTTCGCCAGGCTTCGTTTCGCCAGGCTTCGCTTCGCCGGGGTTGGCTTTCGCCGGGGTTGGCTTTCGCCGGGTTGGCTTTTGCCGGGGTTGGCTTTCGCCCGGGTTGGCTTTCGCCGGGGTTGGCTTTCGCCAGGGTTGGCTTTCGCTGGGGCCGGGCGGGGAGCAGGCGGGGCAGGCTCAGGGGCAGGCGGTGAATGGGTAATGGGGTATCGATGTCTCCTGTCGCCTCTTAGCCATTTCTTGTGTCGGGCCGCTTCCAGAAGCGGCTGGCGGTCGTGGTGGCGGTCGCAGCTGGTGGGGACGCTGGCCCGAGACTTCCGACGCCAGGGAAAAACAAAACGGTCAGTTTTTTGGGCCGGGTTCGGCCTCAGGGAGGCCATGACGTCCTTACCTAGGACGCGCCAGGATAAAAGCATGTCCTTGGGAACGACTGCGGACCCCAGGGAGCCGCTGGCGTAAACAAATCTGGGGGTCGGAGGTCAGGGCCAGAAGTCGCCGTGCAGGAGTAGGTGAGGGGGCGGGGGCGCGGCGAGGAGGGAAGAGGCTCGAGACCCTTGTTGCAGGGCGGGCAGCGGGCAGCGCACGGACGGGCAGCGGGCAGAGCCGAGCACAGAAACCCGCCAGGCGGATCCTAAAGGGAGGTTCGGGTCGGGCGGGAGGACCCTAACGGGCGGGACGGGTCGGGCGCGGTCGGGCGGACCCTAACACGCGGGTCTGGTCGGGCGAGCGGACCCTAACGGGCGGGACGGGTCGGGTCGGGACGGGCGGACCCTAACGGGCGGGTCGGGTCGGGCGGGCGGGACACTAAAGTGTGGGGCGCGCTCGAGTGAGCACGCGTGAACCCTAACGGGCGGGTCGGGTCGGGTCGGGCGGACCCTAACGGCGGGGCGGATCGGGTCGGGTCGAGCAAACCCTAACGGGCGGGTCGGATCGGGCAGGCGGGACACTAAAGTGTGGAGGCGCGCTCGAGTGAGCACGCGTGAACCCTCACGGGCGGGTCGGTTCGGACGGGCGGATCCTGATGGGCGGGGCGGGTGGTCGGGTCGGGCGGACCCTAACGGGCGGGTCGGGTCGAGCGGGCGGGACACCAGAAACTGCGGGGCGCGCTCGAGTGAGCACGCGTGAGCCCTAGCGTGCGGGTCCGATCGGGCGGGCGGACCCTAACGGGCGGGACGGGTCGAGCGGACCCTAACACGCGGGTCTGGTCGGGCGAGCGGACCCTGACGGGCGGGTCCGGTCGGGTCGGGTCGGGCGGACCCTAACGGGCGGGTCGGGTCGGGCGGGCGGGACACTAAAGTGTGGAGGCGCGCTCGAATGAGCACGCGTGAAACCTAAGGCGGGTCGGGTGGGGCAGGCGGACCCTGACGGGCGGGCAGGGTCGGGTCGGGTCGGGCGGACCCTAACGGGCGGGTCGGGTCGGCGGGCGGGACACGAAAGTGTGGAGGCGCGCTCGAGTGAGCACGCGTGAACCCTAACGGACGGGTCGGGTGGGGCAGGCGGACCCTGACGGGCGGGCAGGGTCGGGTCGGGTCGGGCGGACCCTAACGGGCGGGGCGGGTCGGGCGGGCGGGACACTAAAGTGTGGAGGCGCGCTCGAGTGAGCACGCGTGAACCCTAACGGGCGGGTCGGGTCGGGCGGGCGGACCCTGACGGGCGGGCAGGGTCGGGTCGGGTCGGGCGGACCCTAACGGGCGGGGCGGGTCGGGTCGGGCCGGGCGGACCCTAACGGGCGGGTCGGGTCGGGCGGGCGGACCCTAACGGGCAGGGTCGGGTTCGGGTCGGGCGGGCCCTAACGGGCGGGTTGAGTCGGGCTCCAGCCAACCGGCCGCGGGCAAGAGAAGCCAGAGGAAGAGGGGAGGGAGAGGAGCAGCAGCAGCAGCAGCAGCAGCAAAAGAACAGGAGCGGGAAGAGGAGAAGAGGAAGAGGAGGGCGAAAACGAGCCCAGGCGAAAACGAGCCCAGGCGACAGCCAACCCGGGCGAAAATCAAGCGGGCGAAAGCCAACCCGGGCGAAAGCCAACAGGGCGAAGGCCAACCGGGCGAAAACCAACCCAGGCGAAAGCCAACCCAGGCGAAAGACAACCGGGCGAAAGCCAACCCGGGCGAAAGCCAACCCGGGCGAAAACCACCCCGGGCGAAAGCCAACCTGGGCGAAAGCCAACCGGGCGAAAGCAAACCCGGGCGAAACGAACTGGGCGAAACGCACCGGGCGAAAACCAACCCGGGCGAAAAACATCTACGCCCCGAAAGGGCCCCTTCAGGGGCCCTAAAAGGCTCCTTTTCTGCAGCCTCTCGAAGCCCTCAGGAAGCAGCGGCTGAGGCTGGGAGGCGGGGCATCCCGGCTGCTTGTGAAGTCTGGCTACGCCTCTTCTTTCCCTGGCCGAGAAGTCCAAGGCCGGCACACGTCGGGCGCTGAGGCCCGGGAGGTGGAGACGGCTTACAGTCAACCCGTATAATAAGGACGCACGGTAAGGATGCAAGGGCCTTGGAAGGCCATGTCGACACTTGGCGAGCGGGGCGCGGCCGGCGAAAGCGGCCAAGAATAGGCCGAAGGGCAAGGATGCAAGAGTAACCTTGGAAAGTTGCTCATCCTTAATATGCGGGTTGACTGTATCCTCCGTGCTCGCCCGAGACAGGGCGGGGGCATCCATGAGCACGCGAATCCTGCACCACTCCCTCCCTGTTCCTTTCATCCTCATCTCCTCCTCCACCTATCATCCACACGACACCCTCGCGCCCCTTCGAACTCCCTGGAGCTCCCGGGGACCCCCTACACCCTTAAAGAATATTTCCTCCTTCTGCTTCTACACCTCCACCTGCCCATCCTCTTCCTCTCCCGCCGCCTCCTCCTGCTCCTCCTCCTCCTCCTCCTCCTCCTCCTCCTCCTCCTCCATCATCATCATCATCATCATCATCATCATCATCATCATCATCATCATCATCATCATCATCATCATCATCATCATCATCATCATCATCATCATCATCATCATCATCATCATCATCAGCATCATCATCATCATCATCATCATCATCATCATCATCATCTCATCATCATCATCATCATCATCATCATCATCATCATCATCATCATCATCATCATCATCATCATCATCATCATCATCATTCTCCTCCTCTCCTCCTCCTCCTCCTCCTCCTCCTCCTCCTCCTCCTCCGCCTCCTCCTCCTCCGCCTCCGCTTCCTCCGCCTCCACCTCCGCCACAGCCTTCTTCCCCTCCTCC